CTAACATTTGCTCTCTATTTAAAAAGCTCTAAAAGCAACTGTTTATATTGCAGTTTGATTTTTGGAATAAATAATTTGAAAATCCAAAGCACTCTTCTCAACATTTAGTATAAAAATAAAATTCTATAAAGCATTTCCATCTTCAAAATTCTAGCATGTAACAGATTCAGGAAATATGGGCACACATACACCGACTGGAGAGAATACAATCTGCAAACCATAATTCTTAGAAGACCAAACTAACCACAAACAAGAAAAACACCACTGAATCTTTATTTCGAATGATACATTTCAACAACTATAAACCAGGTCTGACAAGAACTTTTTAGCACTAGTTTTACTACTTATTTAATAGGATTGCGAAGATATTTCTTGCTTCACAGAATTTAAAATTAAGATTTTATCAATCTTAGTAAAAGGAAAGCCAAATTACAAACTCAATTAAATATCAAATAAATGCAGAACAAATAATAAAAAAAAAAAGTTCTAGGAAAGAAGAGCACTTACTGCACTAAGGGACAGAGACAATGTCTGCAGAATATCTAGCATAGTCTTCAGCACGGTTCCGCTCCACAGCAAATGAGGAAATCTAGAGCAAGACAGAATTAAGAAACACAGTAAACATGGAGAGCTAAGGAAGGCCATTATTTTGTCAAGGGAGCTGCTCAAAGAGCCAGCTTTATACATCCCTAGATAAGCTCATACTCAATAGAAGCCACAAAGCCTGCCATGGTTCACAACAGCCTGGCTTTATCCAGAGCTAAAAGCTGAGGAGAGTTATTGCACAGCAGTTGAGATTGCATTTGTATCATGGGCACTTTGCTTTGCTCCACCCATTTATTCCCACCACGGAAATACTAAACAGACACACATTTTAACCAGGGGTTTCAGAGCTCAGGCTAGAGATACCATTGAATGTAATTTTTCAAGGAGACGTTTCAGCATTAGTAGCAGCCAAGAAATCCACTTGACCAGTGCCACCAAGTGCCTAAGCAACCACTAAACAGGCATTGTGAAAAGAGAAACATAGCATCTACACTCACTTGTCTACCAGTCCAGATAAGTATTTGTCTGCAACTCTCCTGATCCTCTTGTGAATGTGGTTGAAATTCACCAGCAAGAACTGTGCATGTCTCTCCAGCTCCTCTTCATTCTCCTTAGTTTTAGGCTAAAAACATGCCAAAGAGAACTGTGAAGCTCTTAAAGGAACAGACAAACTCATAAACTGAAATGAGAACATTCATACAAGTTCAAAATTCTAGTTTCCAGGTAACCTACTTTATCAGCCATCATTGTCAGGAAAGCTTCAAACACCTTATCAGCAACAGCTATCACACACTGCATCATGCCTAAGGAGTGGAGAGAAGTGACAGATTTCATTGTCAAAATTACATTTGTTTTATAAACCAGGCTTAACAGCTAAAAAGTGTTTATGTTTACTCAGCCAATATTGAACTTGTTTCAAAACAAAACCAGTGCTCTTGGCAAGAATAAAGCAGCAGCAATCTGGTGAACATGATTCATTTTGTTATATAGCTGCTTGATTTGTTTCTGCTTTGCAGGCCTGGAGGTAATTTCCTTATACCACAAGTTGACAGGAAATCTAGACAGGTAAATCTTACCAGATTTGTCTTTCTGAATTGCTTTATCTTCAAAATAGCAAAACATGACTTGGAAGCGATCTTGGTCAGTTGAATGCAGCACCCTAGGGAAGGAGAGTTTTTTACATTGGGATGTTTGGGGGTTTTATTTTATTTTTTGTTTCAGTTTTTGTTTATTTCAGATTGTTCTTGTTTGTTTATGGGATTTACTAATTGTTTTGTTTTAGGGGTTTTTTTGCTGTTTCATCAGTGAAAAAACTAAATATAGATAAACATATACCTCATATACTCTAGGCGGTAAACAGAAAGGAGATAGGTAGACATAGCAAAGTCCAACTTATTGATCAACGCTGACACTTCTGGAGGAGGATCCAAGAGATTGATTATGGTACTCCGTAATTCATTTAATTCAGCCTAGAGATGAATACATGAAGTTATCTCAAGTGGGAATCCTGTATTATTTTGTTTCCTCAAACATGCATTCAGCTATTTGTTAACATTTCAACCTTCACAAACAATATGTCAGGATGCTTCTGCCTGCAGACTCAGAACAACCTCCCCTGACCCATCATATCACAATGCTTCAAATACAGAACAGAATTTAATCTGGAATTAAGCTTCTGGCAGAAATAATTGCTATAATTCCCATGCAGTTATACCAATGAAGAAATACAAGTCCTACACTAAATGCATGCAAGTTCAACCAACATCAGCACTGTGTCCAGCTCCTGAAACCTCATGGACTTGTGCCAGTCTTTGGTGTCACAGAACTATGTATCTAGGTACAATAAAGATTTCTGTCTTATTTGGGAGACAAAGAGATTTCATAAGCCAAAAAGCCCTTAGGCAAAATCTGTCCTGCATAATCTATCCTGCAAATGCTAGGGAGAGACAAGAATACCAGTATCCAGCCAGAGCACACTTAACATTTCTTTGAAAGCCTGAATGTGCAGTTTTCTTTCAAACTTGGTTGATTTTTCTTTCTTTAATCAGTGCGAGTTTTGTCAGGTACAAAATGGATGAAAAAGCACTAAGAGGCTCCCATCTCCTCAAAGACTTAGTTTCTATACCTAATCAAGGTAGTGTAGTGACCCCACTAAACACTTGTATTAACACTCCATAAAACTGACCCCAAGTTACTTATGCAGCCTGATGTCAGAAGAATAGTGCAAAATAGCTGCTTTTCACTAATAGGAGGCAGGTTGAAGAGGTGTTGTGCTATTTCAATATATCACAGGGAACATGTCATTTAACAATGGCAGACACTATAGAAGGAGGTAATAGAAGAAATTAATTCCTACAGAAGTCACGGTGTCGTTCTTCATGGCAGAATTGTACTGCAGAACAGATCGGAGTGGCTCTTTGCTGGGAAATGTAAGTAATGGAGACTTGGTGGCAATTTCACACACACCTTCATACCATTCTTCTGGCCAAAGACCTGGAACACAAGTAGGAAGAGGAAGGTGGAATGAGAGATTAAAAAAAAAATCAAATTTCACAAATTTACTTGCATTATCAAGCTCTGCACTACCTCTAGGGCAGATTTTTCATGCTCTTAAGCACAGATACTAACACACATGATCCATGTTCCAAACTTAGTAAGTATGTTTAGGTGAAGTTTCTACTTAATTATCATTGTACCCCATGAGTCATATCTTCCATTTCAGGAATCTGGCTATCAAAACTCATAATTAAGGCTATTAACTTAGTAATAAAACTAAGTACAAGTTGTACCATGCTGAATCTGATAACAAAACTGCAAAGATTTAAAGAAATCCCACCAGAGAACTGTCATGTAAGCTGTTTGCTTTGAAGTGTCTTTACGCCTGTAATTTTTCTTCCAGCTGCCTTGAATGGTTTGCACAGAGTTGCATTTAGATTAATCAAAAGTCTAAATGTGAGCAGAAGTGCTGTTCTCTTAGAGTACCTGATCCTTCCACAGCAAATCCCATCAGCACCGAATACAACCAGAAATCGCGGAACAGCTTCTGCAACCTGGGCTTGGCTTCCTTGATGGGAGGCAAGCGCCTAGTGAGCTAGCAAAGAAATAAAAATTAACATTAGAAAATGGTGGGAATTAGAATAACTTAATTCCACACTAAGGAATCAATTTGTGTACTTTCTTTACTATGATTTACAAAGGTAATATTCTTTGTCACCTATGAAAACTAGTATTGTACTCTTATTGTTATATTGAAGGAATTAGGTTATATTTGGAGAGCTGAAAGGCTAACTTTGAGATGTCTGAAGTAAGAATTTCCTTTGTTTTACACAGGAATAACACCATGCTGATACAGTAACCTCTGAGGAGAATACATAATATTGGTATACTATACACTGCAGGGAGGAAGAGACCACACAATCCTTTAAACTGTGCTGAAGACAATGCCATGCAGCTTTGCTTCAGTGTAAAGGAACTCCAAACTAAATAAATACTAGTCAAAAACACTTCTGGTTGCTATTGTTTATCAGCTTTGTGGAAATACATTGAGGCACCAGTTGGGGATCTTTCATTGTTTGCACCCACGCACAGAATGACATCAGTTCTGAAGAATTTACTCTCTAAACAAGCAAGTAAAAAAGCATTATTTTCAACACATTTATTAAAATTCTCTTATATTTTTTGCACAAATAGCTGCTACCACCAAAGGAACAGTATATCCTCTCAGCCAACATGATATACAATTTTAGATAAATTTATAAAACAAAGACCACATGTGTTATCCTAGAAAGAGTTAAAGCACAGGCAGTGTATAAAAAGCAGAAGAAATTGTCTCTTAAACTGCAAGCTTTATTCAAGATGACTGTTTATTACTACCGTAAATTTTATTAAGGAAATGTTACATTCTAATCTAGCTTGAAGAAGTTTTCTCTAACCACAATAATTCTCTCTAGGTATGAGAGCCAGCAGTATTTCAGTGAAACCTTACATAAAGCCAACTTCAGATGCATTTGTAAGTCATGAGGGAGATTAGTCATTTAAAAAGGAAAAGCATGAAAAAAATCTCTCCATTATAATAAAATCAGTCTGTGTTTTAGCTCTTGAACAACACTATGGTAAAAAGCTGTTTGTGCAATGGAAATCTTTGCACCTATGTAACATCAGCTGAAGAAACCCCATCACAACCACAGAGGCCTCAAACACATTTGTACTAAGATGCTCCTCCCCATCCCCCATTTCAGCAGAAAACAGCAGTTACATGAATCTTCCTGTCATTAACAGTCAAGTTTATGTGTGTGCTTGACTTTGAAACTTTACATACCCACCGATTTTTGCTCAAAGACCTTCCTCAAAAGGGAACAAGTACCTGCAAAGCTATAAAAGTAGTTCAACAAACAACAGAGAATTCAGCAGAGATTACTAGGCAAGGGAGGGATTTTGGCTGACGAAGTAAGTTTAGCAGTGTTTGGTTTACAGAATGTTTACTTTGGGAGATACACAAAAAACCAGCGTCAAAGTTCAGATTTAAACACAGCAGTTCCCTTTACTTGAGCTTTTCAACACATCCTTCCCGTACAGTGGCTTAAAGGTAAGCTTCATTTACCTCTCCTGTTATTTTGGGTAGATCTCACCAAAGACATAGGTATTGCAGAGAAGGGGGATGTTTTGCCTGTGTAAGTGCAGCTGAGCAATAACTGAACTTCGATGAAGATGAGAATGTAAAGCTGGGAATACAGACAGCAAATTCTGCTGTGCCAAGAACAGAAAATGTTTATCAATGGATACTGGACAGAGTATCTCAGCCCTAAGGGCCTGACTTCTGGGGGCGGGGAAAAACTAATGAATTTATGGAGAAACAATAAGAAAAAGACTGACTCAAGATGTTCAGTCACAGTGTAAAACAATTTCATACACATCTTATTAGTATCCTTCATTTTTGCAAAACAATGTATTATTTTATATGGGAGGATCACCTTAAATGGTTTTAGGGTTTAAAGCAAATTAGTTTGGGGGATAGCTTCAAAAATTTATCTGTCAGCACAGTTATTTCAATCCTGTTACAACATCTTTGAAAATATTTTCCTTCAAGGTTTTATTCATTGATATACAGGTCAGTGAACAGGTACAGGTATGTGAACCTTTATACCTTACAGAATAGCTCTCTTTCCTAATTTAAAAAGCATTTTAATCAACAACTTACTAAGACTTTTGTTTTAACTGCATTCAATATTTTGTCCTGTATTATATTGTAAATAACTGTCTTCTTCCTCAAGAAAGGGTATTGAAATTAACTTTATAAATGTGTGAAATAACTTTATAGTTAAGTTTGAGCCAAAGTCAAGGCCTGGCATTCAGACACCCATTCAGTTTCAGCTGACAGATCTATTGAACATTTTGATCTCTGCCTGTTACAGGAGGGAATTACACTTTTTTGTATCTTTTTAAGATCACTTTAATTACTGCACCCAATATTATGGTGAAAAGTCTCTCAGACCTGCTTCTTGGTAGAGGGTTTTAGAGCTGAGTAAGTTTGATGGATTCTCTTCAAATATATACTTAAGAAAATGGTTGAGTTTAAAAATAATTTAAAAATGCAAAAATCCCAATGCTCAGTAGATTAAGAGATTGATTAAGTTTCCCTTAGAAAAATGAAGGTTCTACTTAAATGCATTCTCAAACAAAAGAGGCGAGGTTGCGAATCTAGAACTGGGATCAGCCTAGAGAAACAAAGTTCTGAAGGGAGCTCACAGAGACCTCACATCACAAAGAAAACAGAGAGCACTACGAGTTCTGCAGTGCTACATAAAAGTGAAACAAAACATAACTAAGCCAAAAGTAGAATTGAGCCAATCCATTACAAAAGTGGCAGATGAGGACAGAGAGCTGCGGAAAGGGTGCACAGGCATTGAGTAACACACCCTAGTAAGGCTGTGAGCAGGCCAAGACAGACATTTATGCCCAACACTTCCCCCACTGCAGTCCCACTAATGGTACTTAGTGCAAATACACGTCTTTCTGCGTGCCTAGATCGCCTTTAGTCACCAGATTGCTGCCTTGCTTTTCCAAAATACTCCCACAAGACTTCCATTTTTGTTGCAGCTACGGGATGTTTGTTTTTCAAAATTTTCTGTACATCTCAGCCTTATGGTACGCTCCTGCAGGGGACTGGATCAGGAGTCCCTCTTAACAAGCTCAAATCTTCAAGCTTAACTTCACACTGTATTTTCAACACAGACTAGTTGCACAGTTAGTGCATGGTTTAAATGTAAAAGTTTCAAATAAAGAGTCCCACATATTCTGGGTAACGAGTTTGTAACTGCTGAAATATGCCAGTAATGACTATGTGTATGGGAGGAGGCCAACCAACTCTTTGGCAGGCTGGAGACATTGTGTAAGCAAAACCAACTACCAGTAAAACAGACTTATCCATCTAATTGACATATGTTCCACCAAAAAACAGTGCTGTCAAAAAAGGTAACTATACATCTGCTGTTGCAACAGAAATCAGCATGGACCTAAAATTTAGGGAATAGGTAACTAAAATTCAACTAGCCTTGACTCTCTCAACTGCGTTATGTTGTCTTCCAGGCTTTCACCTGTCAGAATGAAGTTCCTATTTCAATTGCTTGCCCTTGCTCTCATGATAACCTCCACATTTTGCGGAGTCAAGGATGTCACTGAACATTTTGAAAGCCTTAAAGGTGCACAGCCACATGAAAATGGGACTTATATGCCAAACCTACCACTCGAGTTCCATAGAGAAAACACCATCACTAATGACTTGATTCCTGAAGAGGAGGAGGAAGAGGACTATCTAGACCTTGACAAGATACTGGGTGAAGATGATTACAGTGATATTATTGATGCTGCCCCACAAATGGTTTCTGAAGTTCAGCAAGGAAATATTCTTGAACTATTCCATGGCAAAACCAGAATCCAGCGCCTCAATATCCTCAATGCAAACTTTGGCTTTAACCTTTACCGCAGTGTGGCAGACAAGGCCAGCTCCTCAGACAATATTATCATGGCTCCTGTTGGTATTTCCACTGCAATGGCTATGATCTCCCTGGGTCTGAAGGATCAAACCCAGCAGGAAGTGTTATCTGTTCTTGGCTTTCAAGACTTCATTAATGCCAGCAGCAAATACGAGCTCATGACCGTTCACAACCTCTTCCGCAAACTCACCCATCGGCTCTTCAGGCGCAACTTTGGCTACACACTGAGGTCTGTCAATGACCTTTATATTCATAAAGACTTTTCTATTCTCAATGACTTCAAAAACAATATGAAAACATACTACTTTGCTGATGCCCAACCAGCTGATTTCTCAGATCCCAGCTTCATAGCCAAAACCAATGAACGCATCTTGAAGTTGACCAAGGGATTAATAAAGGAAGCTCTTGTGAATATAAACCCTACAACACTGATGATGATTCTTAATTGTCTTTACTTTAAAGGTAAGACTCTGTTATTTCAATCTTGGTGATGGATTTTCTCAGTTTGCAATGTACTGCCATATGTCATTAGAAATCCCAGACAGAACTTAAGTCTAACATATACTACAAAAAACCTACTGACCCCCTCTTTAGGAATCTGTATTATTAGCCCATTTTTTGCCTGTTTCTGTAGCACAACAATGCTCTGAAGTTAGTGGGTATTGTATACATAGAGCAACTGCTTACTACTTCCAAAACCTCAATGACTCACAGTGAAACAGAGAAACAACATATGAATGCAGAATAGCCTCAGAAAGCATAAGCTTTGTATAAGTATCAGATGGGGAGGTATAGATGCATATGCAAGTCATCAGTCACATTCAGTCCTGGTGTCACCAAAATGGTACAGGTTGATTTCAGTTAAAGCACTTAACATCTCTGAAGTACTCAGGACTCACACAAACGACTACAAAGAATTTCAGCTTGAAGGAAGCAATTTTTTAATATGATCAGTGCATGATCCTTATCAACAAGTCCATACATGGGACCTAAGAGAATAACCAAAACACTGTTCTTCTACAACTAAAACCAAACTCATTCACTACATGGAATATTTTAGTTAATTCAGCATGAATGGTCAGCTGATACGGACTTCTTCCTGTATTACTATAGGCTGAACAGTCAAAGAGGCTTGAAGTAAAGACTCTACAACATATTCTTATTATAAACCCTTATTTTCAACATCTTTACATTTAAGCTAAGAGCCTGTGGTGAGACTTTCAAGATATGTTATCTGCCTCAGGTTGAAAGTTTGTTAGTTTTTCAACAAACTTCTAAAACTATATTAAATGAGCAAGAGGTGTGAGGTGCCAATGGAAGAACTGAGGATAAAAGAAAATCTGTTACTGACTGTTAAAGATGAAAATCAGATGAAGGTGACTTAAAACACAGATAAGAAAAGACAGATTAGCCCAAAAGGGTAGCAATGTTTGCAAGTACAACACACTCCTTTCCATAATCATAAAGGAGTTTCTTTTTCCCCAGTTATATCCCTGCTTCCAGGAAACAAAGGCCTCTCTTACACCTGCCATCCCAGCAATTTATAGAAGCAACATTCCTATAAATGTACCTTTTCCCACTCATTTGCAGGGAATTACTTCCTTGAATAATGCCATTTATCCCTAAAAGAATCTGAAGCAATCATTAGCATAAAATCCAGATAATCTCCTGTTCTCAGATACCATCCAACAGGCACTTACTTGTATTCTTGACTACATCCCTGATGATCATATACTAAATGCAAGGCTTTACTGCCTGTTAAACCATCCAAAGAAAAGGACTATACAGAGTGAAACAGATACCTTTTTTTCATTATTTTGTGAAATTTGAAATACCCTTGCTTTCCATGCTGCAATTATTCAATACCTATGCTATCTCAAAATAACAAAAACACCATAAAAACACACAGCTGTGGTATTGGAACTCTTGAGTCATCAAGACCAAAAAAGGCTTTAGGTTTTTCTTTTGCCCCTGAAGTCCTATTAGTCCAAATTGCCTTCTGTGCCATCTGCTGAAGGCTGGAATTTCTAACCCTCAAAACAAAGATCAATTCTCTACTGCTCTCATTCTTTTGTCTTACAGTGACAGTCTCCTGGGAACTCTCCTTTGAGTGGAACTGAACTTTTTAAAAGCAAGTTCTGCTCCTAGGTTTCTTAGTTTCCTCACTACTCCTTCTAACATGGCAAATTTTGTCCACATCTTTCCATTTGCACTGTTTATACCACTGTAGAAAAGCTCCACTAAGCCCTCAGAACCAAGAAACCTATAAGCATTTTCAGATATACAAAGGTCTCAGTACAAGTGAGACTGAGTAGTGGGATACTTGACAAACACTGTGAGGTTTCAAGCTCCTTTTATATTAAAGACCATCAAGAAACTATTGGAAACTATTTATGTTGGTAAGAAGCACATTATTTCTTGTATAAATGTCCAGCCCACCCTCCATTCTGCTGAACTCTGAGTAATCATTTATGAGCTTCCTATCAAGTAGGAGCTGGTTATTTTAGCCATGTCAGTTTTGGTAACTGACAAATGTTGACAGGTCCAAAATGTCCTGATTTTTTCTGAGATTCCAGTCACAAATGCAAAAGAGGAGTCACTCAATGGAGACAACATCTGTCAGCACAAATGGATGCAAAAGACATATTGGGGGAAGATTCAAAACAGAAAGCCACAAAAGTCATCAAGTGCCAACTGGTTTCAGCTGGCCACACAGCTCCTGCTGGGGATCAGTATTCTACCCCAAGACAAACACATTTGCAAAACTGAATCCAAGAAAAATGTTCCCCAGCTCCTCTTTTCCACTAGGAAGAGCTGATTATGTCTCCCATCCCTCAGTGGATGGCAGAGCTGCTGAAGCTCCCCTGGCCTACAGCAGCCCCATGTCACTGGCCAGCTGAGGTTCTGTATCTGTGAATTCTGCTCCCTGAAAAACAGCCAGATACTGGGTTTTCCTTGGAAGTGAGATTATTTGTTTGAGAATAGCATAATCCATTTTATACCCCATACCTTTCAGGTTATTAACCACAGTCTGATCGCTTCTCAAACTGATCTCCATCAGCCTGACATGTGCAGGAACTATTAGAATGAAAGTCGGACTTAAAGCTTTTCTTTCCTTATTCACAGTCAATCTGGCAAAGTCACACCAAGGAACCAATAAAGGTTATACTCTAGGCACTCCACACAGTCAGTCACATTCCTCACATACTTGCTTGCCAACAATGACCTAAATTCCTGAGTTTTTACAGGAAATACTGGCAACGCTATTTCCACTATAACTTCTAGCTTTGTCTGCCCCTTAAGAAATGATCTTTATTCCAGAGCCACAGTTCTGTAAAAAGACCAGCAGAACACTGTATTTAAAAAAACCTTCTTTCAAACAGTTAATAAATATTTCTGGTATCCAGATTATCTCCACACAGAAAGCTTTAAACCCTGATGGAAAAGCTTTCTGGGTTGCAAAATGTGTTGGACTGCATTATTTGGGCATAAACCTGTCAGATTTCAGCACATCTACAGGAACCTGTTATCACATCAAACTGGATCATAGAATTAAGCAGTCAACACCCCAATTCTTCAGGTTAAGATGGAAAATGAACCATTCTGAATGGACTAAGGTAACATAATGCCTTCAGCATAGCATTTTTCACAACCTTATCCAAAATGAATTCAGCCCTTGCTTAGCTTGATACACCACTGAAGTTCTCCAAAGAGGTGCTTTCAGAACTGGATTCAAGCATCACATCTCTCAGAAAATACAGTTGGGTCAGGTGTTCTGCTAAAGGCAAACCCTAAAAAATATTTTACATCTGTTTAAATTTCTTGGCTCCCCATAGAGAAAAATAATACACACACCAACCACATTCTTATTTCTGGTTTGTATTCACCTGCTTTTGTAATTCAGAACACTCAAATCAGACAAATGTTAAGTTATAAAGACAGGAATTCTGAAGTAACTTTAAAACTCATCTTCTAATTCAGGCTTCACTGAAATCAACAATCTCCTGCAGTAACTCCCAGTCCACTTGACTTAAAGCTTAGTGTAAACCTATTCTGGAAACATTTCATTAAACAGCCACCTTGGGGTTTTATCTGTCTTCTGCATTGTATGAACAGGAACTTGGGAGAATAAGTTTCCAGTGGAAATGACCACAAAGCGAAGTTTCCGGCTGAACGAGAAGCAGACGGTGAAGGTGCCGATGATGCAGACCAAGGGCACCTTCCTGGCAGCTGCTGACCCTGAGCTGGACTGCAGCATCATCCAGCTCCCCTTCGTGGGCAACATCAGCATGCTCGTGGTGCTCCCACACAAACTGGCCAGCATGAAATCCCTCGAAAAGCAGCTCACACCTCAAGTGGTGGAAAAGTGGCAGAAAAGCATGACAAACAGGTATCTGCTGAAAAGCACTTCTTGGTAAAATCTCAATGTATTTTCTCACTGAGACTGATGAGTAAAAAAAATTTATTCAAGTAAAGCATGCAGAGGATAGTATCTTTTGATAAAAAAATACAAAACCTAAACAAAACCTCCAAAAAATCGATTTATTGAAGTAGAAATCAGGACCGGTGATCTCTCAAAATTTAAATACCATCAAGAAATCAAGGATGATTGAGGTAGAAAATTGTAATGAAGTTTCAAAATTCTTTCTATTGGGTAATTAACGATGTCAATTTAAAGAAAACATTCTTACTGATGAAGTTTACAATAAAAAGGAAAAACAGGACTGTGAAAATAACAGATTATTCTGCACCAATAATCTTGGTCACATCAGCCTATCAGTTCAGCACTGAGCATTTCAACAGAGCTGTGTGTAAAGGAACACATTCCATAGTCAACAAAGGACATCACAATTATGGGAGAGGAAAAATAAAGCCTCCCTTGAGGAAGATGACAGGTTAGGTGTATCTGTCTTCAGACTTGATAAAAAGAGATAATTTGATGTGATATCCAGGAATTCAGCCTACTTCTGTTGTACACAATATGTGACAAATCTCCAGTTTAGTACTTCAGAAAATCTGACACCTCAACGCTTATTACAAGCATGCACTGAACTGCTCAGTCACATACCTTATACACATAAATAATGCAAATCACTATAAATGAAATTTCAAATTGACAAATTAAGTTTTCACAGGGGAAATAATTTTTTAAAGCAGTTTTAAAAGTCATGATGCTCAAGTTTTGAAAAAAGTACAGTCCTGTATCTCTGTGTCCTGCTTGCTGAAGACAGCAAAAAAAATCCAATCCACAACAGGTCTGTAAAGCAAAGGAGTTGTACACATACTTATCTGCTCAATTATTTTTCCTTTTTGTGTTTATTTTTATTAGAACAAGAGAAGTGGTTCTGCCTAAATTTAAGCTGGAGAAGACTTACAACTTGATTGATTATCTGAGGTCCATGGGAATAGAAGAACTGTTCAATGGAAAAGGCGACTACTCTGGTATATCAGATGAGAAGATCACCATTGACAGGGTATTTACTCCTCATTTCACCTTCTCTCTGATTAAACTCTATCACCCAGTATCACAGCAGCTCAGTAATAATAATGCACAGGAAGCTAAAACAATATTTTTTCCTCATTTTTCTGGAGGATGTTAAGAGGGAGGGGTTGTGGGCTTGCCCTTGTCTATTCACATGATGAAGCACATGTTTAATCAGATGTCAGAGGGACTAAGAGTGTTGTGTTCAGTCAGGAACAGGCTTCTCCACAGAACAAACCCCAAAGGTTTTTGGTGCTGCGCAGGATGAGCAGCAAGGGTGTGGGACATAGAGCCAGGGAAGGCTGTGAGTGCATCATTCGTGTACTTAGGAGAGCCTCAATGTCTCTCATTTGTTTTCCTGTTTTGTTTGACTGAACAGTTCAATCACCAAGGCACAATCACAGTGAATGAGGAGGGCACAGAGGCTGCAGCAATAACCACCGTGGGGTTCATGCCTCTCTCCACTCAGATCCGCTTTGTTGTCGACCGCCCCTTTTTGTTCCTGATCTATGAGCATCGCACCAGCTGCCTTCTGTTCATGGGCAGAGTTGCCAACCCAGCCACATCTTAAAAGCAGAGAAGACCTTCCACCACTCTGTTACACATGGGCTGTATAATTACATGTTAAAATACCAGTATCATAAAAGAAAATTTATTGTTGTATTAGTCAATACAAAAGTCACTGGTATAAAAACAAAACATATTATCTACAGGTAGTTTCTCCTGAATGGACTCGCAGCAGAAGGTAATTTGACTGCAATTTAAAATGGTTAGTGCCATGTATTGATGTAAGTGTATTACTAGCAAAAAAAAAAAAAAAAAAAAAAAAAAAAAAAATCACAAAGTAACTTATACTTTGTGTTTTGCAACAGTGTATAAAATGTAATCAATAAAGTATTTAGACTATCTGGAATCTTGAAATTTAGCTCCAAATTTGTGCTAGGATGTCTGTTTATGATAAATAGGACTAAGGAAATCCTGAATTCCTGACCAGCCATAGATACCTAAATTTCTCCTGGGCATTTTACACAATCTAACTCGGTGAATATACACAATGTGTATTAAACATTCAGACTGGTGCACACAATGAGCCTCATGGACCAGTGTATCAAGCAAGAGGCAACAGAAGTGTCTTGGAGGAATGAAATACTAAGAGAGCCACTACTTTTCCCTGATCTAACTTGTATTGCTTCAATACTTCCTCTCATTGGCTCAAGAGGTATCAGAGTTAGGCCAGCCTGGTAAATGACATAAATATCCTCAGAATACCCTTCAGAGGGAAAGCAGTCAGCAAAATGCTCTTTTCACTGGCTCAGTATCAGGTAATCCTCTCTAGAAAAAAAAGCCATTTATAGCAATCTCTCTATTAATATTCCAGTGCACTCTCCATACTTGATTTAATGGACAAAACCTTTCAAGTCACTGCAAACTTTCTGAATTGTTCCAGTAACAACACAAATTCTGTTCAAATGTGTCACATTTGAAAATGAGAAAATTTACCCACACTCTGTAGAATATCACTGGCTACCTGGTACAAGGAACAGAGCTGCACCATACATTCAAATTATTAAAGCCAATGAACATACTCACCTCTGCATACCTTACTTTACATCATACCTTTTTAAAAAAATGTGCCTCATAATCCAGTGAGAGTAATTTTATTGCTTTTTACAGTAATCAGTATCAAATACCGTATCAATCTATTTATATACATCATAAATTTGTCTTACGTTAGCAAAACCACACAAATAACCTTTAAACCAACCCATTAATTTAAGAATTAAGAACTTTCTTAAAATGGTGTTTTTCCGATAATAGGTTTAACTTGTTGATTTCATTTTGCTTTTATATACTGCTGTTTGTAATTTTGCATCTGCTCCAATTATATGCTCCATACTCAAACCTTTTCAACCTGTAAACCAGTGAAACACTGGTATTACATGATGATGAATGATGAAGAAATGATACTGAATAGGAAACTCAGATGTTCCCCTTTATTCTTTCTTTTAAGTCCATAATGTGATAGATAGTTTTCAGTACTGGAAGTGCATAACAGAAATCATTAACACATTTTGTTGTTTTATCTGTATTCAAAAAGGAAAGCATATACAAGAAAGAAAAGCATATGCAAAAGCTTAAATATTCAAGCCCCAGGTTTAATTAGTTTATCAATGATTGAACGAGCTGGAGCATCTGCAGTATGGGATTTTGGGGACTTAAGTAAAGATAATTATTCAAGGCAAAGAGGTCAAACAGAAAAGCAAATCAGCTACTGCTCGAAACTCACGATCTTCATACATTGTGCAAGAAAGTCAAATATTTGCTTCAACAACCATAATGTAACCATTAACTCTTGCTTCAGATTCTGGCACTATCTGACTGCATTTAAAGGTCACATTGGTTAAGAAAAATGCAGTTATCCCCAGCTATTCAGAACAAATGTATCATCAATAAAAATTTGAAACAGAAAAGTACTTCCGTAACTTTTACATTAAGTCTCTAATAAGCATTAATCTCCTCTCAATATGCAAGGAATAGTCCTGCTTTCACTGAAATCAGCATCACTGACAGCTGAAAAATGCCACCCACTAGAACATCTCAATGCAGGACTAGCTGGCTCATGCCAAAACTGAGCAACTATTGAATAACAGTGATCCAAGACATTTATAAACACATTTCTTTAAAGTTAGAAACTGGTCCTTATGATCACTGCTGAATTTGGGGAGGGCTGATGTACAAAACCAGTGGAAGAGACATGGGAAGGAAAGGAACAGCCCTCAGATCTTTAGTGCTAATTTAAACTCTTCTCTTTGACACACTTCAGTGGTTTGAGGGGGCAGAGCATGAAATGAATGGTTTTTTTCCTGCCTGTTAATGGATGTGCAGTAGGAACAAGTTACAAGCAGACATCCCTACTGGAAGCATGGGATACGTTTTTCACTTTTGTCCCACCAGCTGTGCAGGAAAAGCTCTACAGAATAATTCAACTTCAGGAGGGAAACAAGCAGCATGATGCCTTTTGTCCTTCAGGAAGTTTGTCCATGGATTTTTTAGATGTGACTTTTTTTTCGTAAAAGCTACAGCAGTTAGGCAAATAGTCCTATTGACCTGGTAACACATCTTGGACATATCAAATTTTCCACTGCAGATCCAGATCTACAATTTTTTCCTGAATTAGCACTTGTACTTTGTTAAAAGAAATGTTTTTTCCCCAGAAAAAGATTACATCCAAGAGTGAACTCAGATATGCTTCAGAATAAATGAGTCTGGCAGGGTCATCGGTGTCCTTGAACGTTTCCTAAAATGCTTTCAGCCTGAAAGTCAATTCTCATTTCAGAAGACATGGGACACTCACCCCCTTCTTTATCAATGATTTTTTTTTTCCTTTTAAGAAGCAGAATTCACTTTGCTGCCAAACTAAGATTTATTTTTCACTCTGCTTCTATTAACTTTTGTTTTTCACTTCTCCTCAGGCCACAGATATGCGTTGTTTATTACACTGCATGCCAAACACTATTCAAAGTCATATTCCCTACAGTGTTATTTAGCTCCAACAATCTCCTGAATTCATGGCTTGAAACAATCTAATCCTGAATCACAAAAGATTCTTTATTTTCAAGAGATTTTTCATTATTAAACAAATGTTTCCCACCCTTAGAGTAGGGTGTATTATTTTACATTATGTAGTAGTACTACATTTCTCTTGGATGGTAACCTCTGCTCTATCAGTCAATCCAACTATTTTGCTTCAAATAGCACCAGTATTTGATAAATATGAGAAAAATTATTGTTTACAACACATCATCCACTGGTTACTCACCACAGCAATGACAGGAATAAGCACACCCAGGTTCCCTGCACTACTGGAGGCCTGGAGAAGAAAAAGGAAATGCTCAAAACATCTACAAAAGCATTTCTAAAGTATCTGCTATAAGACAGATTTCAAGCATCAAATGTTACAAGTACATCTCTGTATCTTGCAAAGAGACATGCACAAGGTGGTCAAGAGAGCACCCATGAAATCTACAGGACTGAACACACCCTGGAATCATTTAACAAAGCTTTTCAGGTTTTCCTCATGGACTACAGGTGGGATTTTTTCCCCCGTCAGCACACAATCTGTAGATATTGAATAACTCGTAGAAACATTATCACATTAAATGGGTGGTCACAGATAAGTATGAAATGTTTACCAGAACTTTCATTTTACTATCAAAATAAAGCCAAAAATAACAAGCTTGTAAAAAGATAGCATTTTCAAGAATTTATTTAAGCAGGAGGAGCAGCCTTTTCCATTGAAATAGAAGAAGCGTAAGGAAAATACGAATTTCCTTTGACTTTTTTGGACTTTTTAAATTGCAGCTATATACGTGTGCTTGCTCTTGGCCAAGCAGAGTATTTAAGAACTGAAAACATTCACTGAGCACAGCACATCATTTCTCACCTTTTCTGATCAGGCAAACAGCAATGGCACAGACACCACTTTAAAGTCTTTCCCAACCTCCCATATCCCTCCACACTGGATTTGGGAAAGAGGGAATGCTCCAGCTCCCTCCTTGCAAGAGAGAGACTGCTGCCCCCACACAGATGAGGCAGGGAAGATGTGCTAATCGGATACAGCTTTGCTTGAAGTGGAATTAAACCAAAAGGAAGCAATTGAAAAAAAACAAAAACAAAGAAGGAAAGAAGAGAGCAATAGAGAAACAAAGCCGAATAGTCTTCAGATGAAACAATAATGGCGCAACCCAACTAAAACAAACTTCAGTTATCTTTCCTGGAGAGTCAAGATAAAGCAAAACAAAAGCTGGGTCTTAAAATATTTTTGAAGGGAATAAAATAATAGCACAGAAGACACTCTGAGGGGTGGGGACAATTGCAAAACGTCGCCATGGGTTTTTTGTTAACTTCAGAACAATTCACTGCATGTGACTCACTGCTTCAGAGTCAGCAGAGATGCAAACTAACTGCAATAGGCAGAACTCAGCAGAACTACAGAGTTTCTGCAGAAAACCCACTTTTCTAGTAGCATTTTTTGTTAAAAAAAAATGAAATATCAGCCTTTTCATGATAATATATGGCACTGAGGGTGAAGAACATGGAATGACTTCCATTCCTGGGCATATTCAGGGGACATTCCTGCCAACTATAAGCAATAGCAAAAGAAAAATAAGACTTTTTTCTTCTCCTCACAGAAAGCACTTTTGAATGGTTGAAAATAGAACAAATAAATCACTGAACCTTTTAATGGTTATCAAGCAAATTTTAATGTGCTGAGAAGAAGAGGCATAGGCAAACTAACAAAGAAAAGCTTGCTTTTGTTTAGGAAGCGCAGCATATGGGGTGTTTTACCCTCTTTATCTCTTCTTGAAAATGAAGTAACCCCATCTTCAGAATACCTTTCATAACTAATGCTCTGCATTGAGGAGAGTGTTCTAGTGAGAACTGCTCTCAGGATCTTCACACTAAAGAAACACTGCCTCCTAGCTCAATCCATCTGAAATCTGTCATTTCTCCATCTGCAGAACTGCACAGCTTTCAGTCAGTGCAGCAGTTTATCTCCCATACTGATGTCCAGAGCATCCCACGTTTCCCTTTGCAGCTCTGCCTCTGATACTCAAGCTCAGGCAGCTGAACAGCAGCTATCCCATTTTATCTGGGCACTCCACATGAATCAGTCAGACATCCTAGACCTGCACTCACACTCCACAATCAGAACGCACTCTCAGCCTTAGCACAGTGGGAGTTTTCCCTGTGTGTTCAGCAGTGCCACCCACACAAAGCACAGCTGCACACCATTAAAAACCAGTGCATATCTGACCTTCAGTGCTGGTCCTTTTTCACTTGCTCTCTCACTAGCTCTCTTTCCTTCCAGCCCAAGCTGAACAAACAGCTCCAGCAAGTTCATCAGTAGCTCATCCACAAGGTGCTCTACCTGGATGTTGGCAGCGATGTTGGCCAGGGCATTAATAACTGCTAAGGAGCAGTGCCTGAGGGCAAAGAACAGTTATGAACAAGCAATTCCTCGAGTTTTATATTTTCAGTGTTTTCTTCCTAATGCTGATAGTAACTCTTGTAACAAGGCTACTGACATATTTTCACCCAGATTCTTCCTTGCTGTTTTTATGAGCAGCACATCATTTTACTGACAATTGAAGTGCAATTGGTATTTAAGTGAAAAACTATTTTTAAGTTGTGCCTTTGGAGAATGTTCCATTTATGATGCAGTTATGGCCACAAGGAAAGTACTTCCATGCAGCAGACCAAAAGCAGCCAAGGGCAGTGTTTCTGTTTTGGGAAAGCTCTTGGAGCAGAAGAATCAGAACTCACATCAGTTGTTGAAGCCGAGACTGCATTGTTAAAATACTTAAAACATGCTCCTGTCAGTACAGGAACAGGCCTCTCAGCTACTCCCATTCTGCACTGAAAGGTATCCAGCCTACCCCAACTACCCACAGAGTCAGTGACAATCTTTATTTCTACTGGGGACAACAATGCGTAACTTACAAAGAATTAAACAGATAATGGTTGGCATTTGATCCAAGTACCAGGAGCACATTAAAAACAAAACAAACCACACTCTCAGTTTTTCTGGGCTAAGAGATTCAGTAATTAATTACTGCAATTTACTAATTTATTACCGTAATTACAGATAACATAAGTCATCAACGAATTATCTTTCACAAATACTGACTCCTTACAGAGGTAAAAGTTATCAGTGCTACCTTTAGTGAAAATCATTTTCAGGAATCTCTGCATTTTGAAGTGCTATTACTTTTAAATTATTTCTTTTCAACATCAAAGAACAGTACAATTTACAACCTTGTAACAAAATTTGATAGGGGGAAAAAGTGAAAAACCCCAAAGCAGCACAAAGGATATTTGACATAGTTTTCACATGTTTAAGGGACACAGTTAAGTGTTACCTGTATCCATGGTCCTTGTAGTCCTTTGTGGCAGAGTAAACAACTGAGCTTGCTTTAACACTGATTTGCTGAAATAGATTCCACACCTCACCATAAATGTATTGCTGCAAAAAACCAAAACCAAATCCCTAAGTAAAGCTTATTGAATACAATCTGTCTAAAGGAGAGACCTGTAAAATACTCTAAGTATTATCAAGTTCTTCAGATGAGTGTGTAGCCACAGTCTGAGCAATGGTTTCAGCTTCCATGAAACAAACAGTGCAAGTGCTTTTGTGAATTTTGTGAATGTTTTTAATTGATCAAATTTTTTAAAATTTATTATTTTTAAAATATAAATAAAAATATATTTTTATTTATTCTTTAATTCTGCCTTCCCGATGGAAACAATTCTTTCAGGCTTCTGAGTTCTGGCAATTAATTGCTTCTTCAGAGGCACAAATAACATTTGGAAAAAGCCAGTTAATCTTTGTATGAGAAGAAGAAGACAATCTTCTGTACTTTTAAATGTATGAATTTACAAGACTTTGAAAGTTAATCATTGACACAAAAAG